TTGTCCTTCAGGCCACGAACCAAAAAGAGGCCGTTTTCATAGCCGAAAAAATGGAACAAAGTGATGAACGAAATTTTTGAATTTTAAATTTTGAATTTAATTTTTTGGCTCTTTTCTTCTCTCTCTCTCTCTCAGCCCCTCTCACCTTTATGACTTGTTGTTTTCCTTCATTAATGGAGGCTTAGATTTCCATCTAATTCAAGGATTAAAAGGGACGTGACACCCTTGAGGATTGGTCTCACATTGGCATAAATTCAATAACAAATTCAGTTTCATTTCTTCCTTATGTTCTCCTTTTGGTAATTATATTTTTGAATTGAAGTTATTCGTTTGGATTGATGATTATGCATCTGGTTGATTACGTATTATTTGATTGATGTATGTAGTTCAGTTTTAGGGAACGTGAATTAGATTTTCAGGTTTGAGATCTAAGATTAATAGCATTGGTGAATTAAATTAACACAAATCGATTAGGTTCTAGAGGTTTTTGAACTTTGAGCGAATTGTATGTTAATCAAATGCATAAGGGTTCTCGTGTGAATGCTTAATTTGAATTGAGGTTTCATTCGAATTTAATGTTAATCACTAATTTGTTGTTTGATGCATCTTCTTGGAATCCGGTGATAGAGTGGTCGTAGTTCTTCTAAATTCTTGGATTAGAGTTTTTAATTATTTTTAACTTTTGATTCTAATTAGTTATTCTATAAATCAAACCCCGTCTAAAAATTTTATAATCGTGTAACGTTATCATCGTTGGGAGACGACTCAGATTGCACCTCTTACTACATAATTTTTATGCAATTCGGTTTTTATTAATTTGTCCGAGAGCGACACTCGCGATCAAATTACAGACGGATTTAAAAATTTGTCTGTAATTATTTACCGACGCGCATATTATAGACAAACTATAACCGTTTGTAAATTCGTCTGTAATGTTAAAATTTGTCTGTAATAATAAAAAATTCTTCTATAAATCCATCTATATTTGCAAATTTTCTAATAGTGTTAGTTCTTGTCTTTCAATCGTTATAAAATTAACAACTCATAGGCATTTTATACTTTCTCTTCATTTTACCTTATATGATCATTGAGGGTGATAGTTTAGAGAAAAAACTATTAACATTGCATGATCATTGAGTGTTAATGGCAAACCTATATATTTTTATAAACATATTATATTATTCCTTTTAATTTGTGTTGTAATTATTTGACTATATGTATTGAGATGAGTATGATATATATATGTTTATGTGTGTGTAAGTTGTGCAATTGCTAGGTGACAATTGTGTGTTTGCAGAGTTGTTTGGTTACTTTATTTGATATATTTAGTATTTAGGGTTTGTGATTGATTCTTAAGAGTTTTATGTGAGTGTTGAACATAAGGAATATAACAAAGCCTTTTGTTGTAAAATCCTTATTTGCATTGCCTTCTTTTTGGGAAAATAAGAGTTCTGGTGCAGGATTTCTATAATATTGCTCCAACTGTCTTTTCGCTCAGGCGAGAAGTGACCTCACCCAAGTGAGATGAGCTCACTCAGGCGAGAAGTCACAAGAAAAATAAGAAACTCTCTAGATCTATTCTTACTCAGGCAAAAGTGCCTCTCTTTCAGGTGAGATGCCACTCACTCAAGCGAGAATGTCTCTCGTTCAAGCAAGAATAGCAGAAAACTAAGTAGTTTTAGTGTTTGGTTTTCTCGCCCAAGTAAGAATAGGGCTTGCTCAAGCGAGAACTTGCAGATTTGGAGAGGTATTTAAGGAACTTATGCCCCAAAAAAATTCATTTTATCAACCAGAAAAGTTTTCCTTCTTGTTTTCTCTTTATTCTCTCACATTCTTCTCTCAAAGAAAAACTCTCAAACCTTTTCTCAATCTGAGTGTAAACAACTATATCGTTAGATCTAAGTAAATTTTTAGAGCTTAGTTCTCCAACTTTACTCTTTATTCCTTGGTTTCTCTTTTCAAGGATTTTCTATTGTGTAATAACAATGAGATCTAAGTTTTTTGGGTGTTGTATCTCTTTTTAAGACTCACGAGAAGTGCAATTTTGGAAATCTAAAACCTCACAAATCTCCTATTTTAGATTAGGAGAGGTATTCTTGAAAAAAAAAAAACAGAGAGGGTTTCTCAGTGTTAACTGTCAGTCTAGAGGCTTGGCAAAAGGAATGCAAAATATTCTAGATCGTAGAAGCTTATAAAATGTAAGCCTTAATGATTAGGATAATGTCATCAGCAAAGAGGAGATGTAAGATACCTATATCATGACACTCAAAATAGAAGGGGACCTATCATTAATAATACTACCTTGAATGAGATGAGTAAGTCTTTCTATACATAAACAAAAAGATATGGGGATATAGGCGTATAGCAAAATAACCACTAACATCTTAACACAAATTCACTGTTATATTCTAGACAAATCAATATCCAAATAGTTTGTACATATTTAGTAAATAACTAAATATTATTGACTTTTCTATAATTTTTTTTTAGTTTTTGTGTTTGTTTTTTTTAAAACCTCAAGAGCGAAAAATAGTTTTGAATCTAATAGTAATAAATTTTATTTATTTATTTTTAAAGATGTTAACATGAAAATAGCTATATATTATAGAAATTGGTTGCTATTATTTTCTAGTTTTATTGTTTTTTTTACTTGATTACATGATTTATTGTAGATAGACCATGTTGGTGGTAAAACCTTTTCTTTTTGTTACAATAATTATCTGTAGGAAGAGTTTCATGTTTTTTCTAAAAAGATAAGTGATTATTTTAAAATAGTTATTATATATATTCATAAAAAAATTATAATTTTTCTTGACTTAAATTTTTTTAGATTCTATGGTGAATTTATTCCCTTAATTTTAAATGTAATTGGACTTTTTTTTTCAACTTCCTTGAACATAAAAATAGAAAACATTAGTGTCAAAAATAAAATTAAACTCCTGTATACCTAATTTAAAATTTATTTAAATAATAAAATTTTCTACATATTATTTTAGAAAATTACATAACAAATTAATATTATATTAATTAATTTATATTTTAATATATAAATTGGTGGATAAGAACGAAGTTCAACTCATTTTTTCTTTCTTCTCCACGTGAATAATGCAACTCCAGCCCCTTTGTTCTTCGTTCTCCTCTCAAATTTTTAATTATTTCTAAAATATATTTTTCTTGGTGACAAAAATTAAAAGCAAGTGTTGTTCTTCTATTAAAATCATTTTAACTTATTAAAATTTTATATTTTCTTCTATTTTGAGCTGAAAATTCGTGCTATATATGGCCATATTTTTAAAAAATTTATTTCAAATTAATAGCTTAATTATTTATTTAAATGTATATTTGAAATATTTTAATTTGTCATTGTGTAGAGCTATGAAATTAAGCTTTGCAGACTTTCTTTTTCCTGTATCAAATTTTTCCTAGTATCCATAAAAGTAAAAACTATAAGTTTCTCATTAATTTTATTACTATCAAGGGGTGTTTTATAAATAAGTATCAATTTTAGAATAGAAAATAAAAACTATTAGGAATTTTAGAAATTAGCTTTATTGAATTTTTTAATTATTATATCAAGGAATGTAAGAAAAATATTAGAAATTCATTTTAATGAGTACCCATTCCTATTGTTATGAGATACACTACTCTTTACTTATATCTACATATAGTTGGACTTAATGTTGAGTGTTTAAGGTATCCATGCCATTATACCATATATTTCTCTCTAATACCACTTGTCTCTTAGACTAGTACCAACTCCTATCTCCACCTTTGTAGAGATTTTTTCTGACTCATCTAATTCTACTTCTCCTAACTTTTCTAGTTCTTTTTCCCTCCCAGATAGTCTATTTACACTACCTCATGGGTTGGGCTTAAGAGATTGAGGGAAGTGAGATAAATTTTGATTTACACCTATAATATTTAATATCTTTATGAAAATTATTGTATTCCTAAATAGGAGTGTTAGGGTCTCACACTCATGACCTTGTGTTTTAGATTAATGATATTGACACTTTTTGACCATCACCAATATTTTGATGTCCTTAATTGTACAATTTTTAAAGTTTGTATGTGATATACATTATTGAATATTATTGTATATATATGTATGATATTTTGCTAGGTTGCATGTGGAATTAGTTATAAATAAATTAATATTAACTATTTTAATAATGCTAATAATAATAATAAAAAAAAAGTGAGTAATAAAAGTGTCACACTACCTTCAATTATTTAACATAACTGAGTTCATTTGATACTTAAATTTGAGATCATATGTTAAAGCTTCTTACTAATTAATCCATGTGTTTAGTAATAATAAATTGTTGCTTTTAAAAAATAATAGAGTCACATTTTTTAAAGTTGTTTTTTTATTAATGTTTGTTTGTGCGAGTATATATATATATATATATATATATATATATATATATATATATTTATGTAAAAGATAATATATAGAAAAATTTATTATTTTTATTTATTTATAATTATAAAAAACCTTTATATTAAATAAAGTCATTAAAATTTTTCAAAATATAAACCATTTTTCACAAAATTGAAACAAAAATCTATATTATTTATTATAGAAGAAAGACTAGCTATGTATTTATTTTAACACATTTTTAATTATTTATTAAAATTGATTAATAACAATAATTTTTTTTAGATTTAACTATTAACTCACTTTTAAATTTTTTATTTATTATGATTTTGTTTAAAAATTTATTTAATGATTCTTTGTTCCTTAACGTGACAAATTAATAATTTTTAAACTTTTTTTAATATTAATAATTAAATTGATTATGATTGTTAATTTTCTGAATTAACTTTTCAAATTAATACTTAGAAAATGTATTTTAATGACTGTGTATATTTTAAAAAATTAAAGTAAAAATTTATTCAAATTTTAACTGATAATATTAGTTAAAAATATATTGAAAATATGTCCTACATTTACCTTATTTTAGATATATGGCAAAACAAAGATGGGGTGGGTCGTTAGTGGCCAACGTAGGTTAACCCATTTCCATATAGGCCATGGGTTAAAGAAAGAGAACTCAGCCCCTTTCCTATTCCAAATCCCTCACGAACTCTGATTTTACTTGGCAGTGAGTATCACAGAAACGAGTGAGAGCTCATAAACCCATCAAATCTAAACAACATCGCAGATTGAATTGACTTGTAAACGATTTACGAAGAAGAAGAACAAGCAATGGGTTCTGAGAATGAAGGAACCCCAGATTCAGGACTTAACACTTCACCCTCTTCCTCTCATTCCTGGAAAAACCGAATCTTTATTCCCACCCTCCTTGCAGGTCTCTCTCTCTCTCTCTCTCTCTCTCTTGTTGTTGCTTTGTTTTAGTCACAAAAATTTGTTTACTTAAAAAAACAAAAGAAAATTTTTTTATGTTTGAACTATTCAATTTTGCAAGGATGATTAATAATAAATTTAAGTAAAATCAGTCATGTTAAGATGTATCATATCGGTTAGAAATATAGCTGAAGTACTCTTTATAAGGCTCAGACAATTGTCCTCCTATGAGTGAGTTTAGGGCCTATCTAGTTTGAATGTTGAGACTACCCGTGGATGACCAGTTTTGCAAATTTCATGCACTAGATGTTCAGTTGAGTGTGAAAGGGTGTCTTAAGATGCACATTGATTAGAAACATGGCCAAAATACTTCTTATAAGGCTTGGAAAATCATTCTCTTAAGAGTTAGTTTTTAGGAGTGAGTTAGATCAGTCATGTTCAGTTTTCTAATAAGTCACATAAACATATATAACTTGAGGAATTATGATTGAAAATAAGTTCTAACCTGTTTGTATGTATTTATGATCTCTGTGATTATTTGGAGCAGGGGTTGCTGGTATTGGAACTGGGTTAATTTCAAAGCACAGAAAAAGTCTTGGTCTTGTTAATGTGTGTGCAAGCTATGCTGCTAATTTCTCCATCATCACCGGTTGCTATTGCGGTAGGTAGCTGTTGGATTTTCTTTTGATCTGATCATTGGCTGTTACAGTTTTGGAAACATGTTGGATACTGTGTTTAATGGAATTGTTTGTGTAATGTTGATAAATTTTAAATTGAGTGTATTGATTTGCTACTGTTTTATATGGACTTGGATCTTTTGCATTTTTCATATGATAGTATCATGTTATTGGAGAAATCCATAAGATTTTTGTTGCAGATAGCTCCACTAGTTTTTCACTAAAGCAGTTTACACTTTGCTCTCTCTCATTTCATATTTTCATGATTTTAAGAAAAATGAGAAGATCCAAATCTGCCTTATCTGTTGAAAGAAAACTGTGGCCTTGTTGTTGGGGAGGATGTTCTACATATTACTGGCCTGAACTTGTCCTGATTTAGTTTGTTTGAGTAGCTCTATTTGTAAGTCCTGGGTATATAGAAGGGAAGTATGTTATCTTGTCTTGTAGAGTGCTTCCTAAAATTGTGGCATTGAGAGTGTGCACCATTTTTTTGATACTTTATATATATAAATTTTACTGTTAGCCTTATGGAACATTTTCATGTAATAGATAGTTTAAGTTGATTTGTTGAAGTAGCATTTTATCAATGAAAAGCAACATACATTCATAAATATTAGGAAAAATGATCGTTAAATGTTTTCAGAATGAGAAAAGTAAACAACAGAAAAGAATTTCTAATTTTCTATTAGCAGAGCTTTATCATATAATATGAAGAAATCCATAATTAATTACTACTACTCTTGAGAAATTGTCACTAGGAAACAAGACTGTAATCAGTGAGCAACAAGTGTTGTTTCAGTTTGCTTCTGGAAGAATACTGAGGCAAATGGAAATCTAATGATGTGAATTCTATATCATATTGCAATCAGTTACCATCCTTTTTCCTGATTATAGATTTTTGGAATTTGTAAGGATTTTGATTGAAAATAAAAGGAGATTGTATTACTATTGAAGAAAATTAATGGTAAATACAAGATAAGAATTAAGATACAAGCCTAAGAGAAAAGCCTCTGGCCTGAAGCTGAGAGTTAGGAAAAAGGTAATCCCTGCCGCCTCTACTGACTAACCAACTGATATGAGAAATCTAAGGATTTCCTAATAAGGATAGGTTTACATCAAGGTTTTGCTTTGAGCCTTTACTTGTTTAATCTAGTCTTAGATGTGTTTACAAGTGACATAAAAGAAACTATCTCTAGGTGCATGCTCTTTGCAGATAACATAATGTTGGTTGAGGATTCAAGAAAAGAGATTAATGTTAAACTTGAGTTATGGAAGGAGACTTTAAAATCTAAGGGTTTTCGCTTAAGTTGAAATAAAATAAAGTATATGCATTGTAAGTTTAGCAAAAACACAAGATGAACATCATGTGTTAGAATTTAAAATTGGAAATGATATTATACTACAAGTCTCCAAGTTCAAGTACTTGGTAAGTTGGTATCGATTCTACAAAATGATGAAAAAATTAATGATGTTACTCATAGAATATAAGCTGTGTGGTTAAAGTGAAAAAAAAAAAATCAAGAATTATTTTTTACTATAAAGTATCTATCAAGTTGAAAGGGAAATTTTATTGTACTACAATATTACTAGCTATCCTATATGGTAGTGAATGCTGAGTTTTAAAAGAGCAACATGAGAAAAAAGTGAGAAAGACAGAAATAGGAATGTTAAGGTGAATAAATGGTCATGAGAGGATAAAATAAGAAATGATAGTATACATGAGAATTTTGGAGTAACACCTATAGTGGAAAGATGATTTAACAACCATCTAAGGTGATTTGGTCACAGTACGAAAGACATTTGGAGGCATTAGTGAGGAGAGTAGATGACCCAACTCTTAGTTTGGTAGAAAGGAGTAGATGGAGATCCAAAAAAACTTTGGAATAAGTTATTAAAAGAGACCTTTTGATTAATATTTTTGAAAATTTGGTCTTTGACTGAGTTTAATGACATCGTGTCATCTATAGCTGACCTTACTTAGTAAGATAAAGTTTGGTTGTTGTTGTCGCTTCTCTTGCTAACTTTTCCCCACCACATATGTATTAATTTTCCTCTATTTGCTTGGGTCTGCAAGAATAAAACTGTAAGGGTTTTTTGGGCCCATTCTTAATATTTGGTTTAGCAATCCTATCAATACTGATGACAATCACCATCCGTGTTAACAAATTAAACGATTTTAAATGGAATTGCATATGACAAAAAAAGAATTATTAAGGCAAAAATAAAAATCGAGACAAGAAGAAAAATAAAAAAAGCAAAAATAGAATAAAGATAGAAGATGGTACCACAATCGCAAAATTGATAAGCAAAAGGAATGATCGTTACATGAGTTTTGACCTTTTAATAAGATCAAGGAAAATTGACTCATTCAAGAACCTAGAGTCACACGCTCTCACAAAAGTGTTCAATCTCAAATTGCATTCAAAATGTCTTTATAAGAGCTTATATGTGTCTAATCCTCATAAATCAACACAAAAACAACCTGAATGAGCTTCTTGTACTAACAAGTCTAAATCTAAATAAACTAAATAAAACAACCAGTTTTTATCCTAAATAAAAGCTCAAAGTGTGTAATGATTAATATTAAAATCATACTTGTTAATTGTGCGCTATAGCAGCGCTATTGCGCCGAAGCGGTGTGGCATGGTCGTCGGCCGCTATTGCCGCCACATCGCAGGCCATTTGGCATGTCGCGGCAGGTGCGGCTGTTTGTGGCCATAATTGGAAGAAGTTCGCGTTGTGATCGCGTGATTTGGGGGAAAGAAAGAAATCCTAATCTATTTTTTATAAAATGCACCGTATGGATTATTTTTTAAGGGTAGAATGGTCATTTACCCTTCATAAAATATGTATGTTTCTTTATCCTCTTTGTCTTTATGCTTGTCATTGGTCTTTGAAGCCCTTTTAATGCTTTCAAGCCATTATCTTCAATGGGTTTTCTTTGATTCTGATACGACCCATACATTCGTGAGCCCAGCTAACAGTGAGATACCCGGGCAGCAGATACGTGAGGGAGAGAAGACCTGGAAAGTATACTCCAGGAGAGGTAAAAGGGTGACACGTGTTTAAAAAGGGAGGACTAGTCAGTTAGGCTGAGTGGGTTGTTTTGGGGCCCACTAGAGATGGGAGGTAGGGGAGTTGGTTATAGGTGAGAGGAAGGAATCAGGGAAAGGCAGAGAATATTCATTTTGTTCTAGCGGCCATTGTGGCTTGGGAAGGGGAGCGTGGTGCTCTCCTGAGTTACTATCTTTTGTTCTTCGTTTACTGTTGCTAGTGCAATCTTTCACATTTCCTTATTCATACAGCAATATACATATATCAGAGTATCTCTTCCATACTTTCTTTCTCTTTTCTGGTTGTGTTTTCTATCAGATTCTCATCAACCACCATGTCGAAAGGTTGTCTTGTCTTTGAGGTAGAGGAAAGGAATCTGGGTTCTAATAGTGCTTGCCTGCCTTGCCTCTTTAATAAGTTTGGACTTACACAAGATCAACTGCTCAGTTACAATATTTCCAAGCTTCTGTACCTCCCTAGGAGCCAAAATAGCTTCTGGCTCCATTGGAATAGGATCATCAGCTCTGAGGCATGGGTATGACACTTCTCATAGAGTATCGGTACCGGGAATGGGTATGTCGTGGGTATGCTTGGTATGTACCCAAAAAAATTTGCAAAAAAAACAAGTTGGGTATGGGAATTGGGAACGCGAATACAATTTGGGTACGGGAAATGGAATTTTTTGACTAAAATTTTAGAGTTTTCGGTTTTTCGCAAAAATTTGACCTAGTTGTCTCTTTCTCGCCTCCAACTTCGACATACCCGTACTTCCTCCAGCCTCCACATGTCCACAGGCTGCATATTGCTACTTTTCTTCTCCCATCTCAAACCTCAACCATCAGCCTTCATTGGTGACGGACAAACGACAAACGGCAATAACAGCGGTGGCAAGTCTGACAACAATCTCCTCCAACAATGGCAAGCCACGAATATGCTAAAATTTGTGTACTTTTATTTTATATACAATTTTTTCATATTGATTTTATACAATTTTATGTGTGTGTATATATATATATTATTTTTTTTTAATTGACGTACCCGTACTCTATTTTTTTACAAATTGCTGTATCCTGTACCCATATCCATACTTGGTACCAGTACCATACCCGTACCATATCTATGTAAAATAGGTCAGTAGATGCCATTTCAGGAGGGAGAACAGCCTCCACTTGATTTTTTCCAAGAACTTTCTTCAAATAAGCAACATGAAAATGGGAAACAGGATGAATCAAGGCAGAATCTGGAAGCAACAATTTATATGCTTCTGGTCCCACATAAGTTATGATTTGAAAAGGGCCAAGGTAGCAGGCTGATAATTTATAATTGATTCTTCTGACAACCAAGGCTTGTTTGTGAGGCCTCATTTTGACGAACATCAAAATGCCTATGTCACAAGTGATGTCCATCTTATGAGCATCTGCATTTCACTTCATAACCTGTTGTACACATAGTAAATTAAATGTTGGTTGCCTTAGGGCCTCATCTCTATCAGTCAAAACCTTAGCTATTGAATCAGCTGCTGTTTCTCCTGCTAGATAATGAACTATGGTGGGTGGAGGACTGCCATACTACCTCATAAGCAGTTGTCCCAGTTTATGAATGAAATGAGGTGTGATACAAGATTTCTCCCAAGAAAACCGTAAGGAGCATTGCGTGGTTGCTTGGAAGCAAAACAATGTAAGTCTCAAGGCAGCAGTTGATCAACTCAATTTGCTCAATGGACTGTGGGTGATAAGAAGTACACATCTTCAACACCATTCCTTGCAGACAATAAAAGCTCTGTCAAGAAAATACTTAGAAATAAAGGATCTCTATCACTGACCATACCTCAAGGGATACCTTAAGGAAAACCATGTAATTTGACTGCATCCTTAACAAAATATTGAGCAATAGTCTTAGCTGTCTGTAGAAGTGTGCTTCAAGGGAGATTGTGAGCTCCATGTAACTGGAGAAGTAATGGGAATATCTTTCATCTTTGCTCTCATCTTTTGTGTCTATTGTTAATTTCCTATGCCTTCTTGTGTCTGCAAGAATAAACCTGTAAGGGCTTTCTGGCCCATTCATAATATTTGTTTTAGCAATCCGATCATATTTGTTAGTCTCTATATATGAGTGAACATGATAGGATAGAAAATGATAATATATGAGAGTTGGATAAAGATATGCATGATAGGAATAGAATAAATTCCTATCCTATCCTTGTGCTTGATGCACATTAGGATAATAAAACAGATGATTTATGTTCTTAAGCTTTTTCGTTTGTATATTTGCCATGCTTTTTTAAGTTTTTTCCAATAGTTGGGGTTTCACTAATTTTAATGCTAGTGATGTCACGGCCATCCTTTTGTTGGATTGAGGCTTCTGAATATTTGATTCAGACTTCCTGTGTCAATTCCAAGGGTTCAAATTCAACTTGTGTATTGACAAAATATAATGTTAAATCCATCAATTTATCTGTCTATTAAATCACTTTTCTGTCTAAATAATAAAATATATTGTATAATTTGTTAGGGGCACGTGAATTTGTGACTGCAACTAGAAAAACAGGACCTGATGATCTATGGAACTCTGCAGTAGCAGGATTTGGAACTGGAGCTCTTCTAGGGCGTCTGCAAGGTTTAGTTCTGCTTTTCCTTCTCACTCTTCTGCTACATGTTTGTGATTTTTGTTGTTCAGAAAGCATGGTGAAGTTTTGCCAGTCTGCTCTCGACAGGATTTTTATTAGACATGTTAAAATAAAATCTACTATTGCATCTTATTTATCATCCTCTTTCTTTGTATTTGTATGATCTCTTTGTTTCCTTTTTTTTTTCCAAATGATTCCAATATTGTTGTGAAGTTTCGCATTAGTACCAAAAGCATGTTTCATTAGGGTAGTCGTTGGCTCCTTATAAAATTAGAAATTGACTGATTATTTTATCCACAGAAAATAAAAGAATTTGGATGTGCCGTAGCATTATCTACTACTAATAAGGAAGAGAGGGTGTCATGGTTATTTCAAGTAAAATTTTGTTCTCTGTCTTATTTACCACCTATTTTTCAACGTCTCGGAAAGGGTAAAGTTCTTCGTGAGCACCAACCAGGGTTGATGTGGACTGTGGAGGTAAGCAAGTTGCACACACTGTGGAGGACCAAGATAACTTTGAGAGTGTCTCCTAATTGCATGGTACTCGAGGATCACAATGCTTATGGGAATATTTTGGTCACAGACTGATAAAATTTTACCAGATTATGTTTAAATTTGAAAAGCATTACTTGGTGTGAACTACATGTAAATGATTCTTGCTTAAATTTGCTGAGTGATAAGCTATGAAGGTTACAAGCATTAAAAGTAAATTTTCATTTATGGAATTTTAGGTGGTCAGCTTGGTGCTGTTCGTTACTCTGTCATCTTTGCTGTTGTGGGGACTACAGCTGATTTTGCTATTCTGAAGTTGAAGGATGCTTTGAGTGATCGCACTAAAACAATACACAAAGACATTGAGAATTCAAAGAAGAATGGAAATTGGTTGAAATTGCCAGAATGGTTCCCAATTCGGGTACTTGACGACGAAGCGCTTGCTGCAAAACGAGCTCAGGAAGAGCAGTTCCTTGCACAGAGGGCAAGGATTCGTAACCTAAAGGAAGAAGACTCTTGATAACAATTCATTTTTGTGGATGTTTGCCCTGATCTTGAAGGGAGGAAAACTTCCACCCTCTTAAACATTTTGTATACCCAATTTTATTTTATTGAATCAGTGAGTAATACTGTACTTCTCAAGCTGATGAGCAATCAATGGCTTCAGCAGAGATTTTGGAAATGTTGAGATTGAATTTTCAGTTCAATGATTTTTCCCTTCTAAGGGTAGACAATATCCAGTAACTACGCCAGGAAAATCTATAAATAGTTGAAATGATTGTTTTGCTGTATTTTGACTTTTGCTATATTCTTATATTGCTTCATATGGTTCTGCTTTCTACTATAAGTTATTTGGTCTACCAATTTCCTTTGCTTTGCGCTTGATGTAACCCTAAATCATTTGGAGTTATATTTAGAGGCCTATTATGATTTAGGGTGATTCTGTGGTTGTGAAGTTCTAAATGTAAGTTGGCACCTGAATATGAGAAACAATGCCTTGTGTGTAAACGGTAGTAGATTAAAATAGTGGATCAACGAGTTAAAACACTTGTAAAGAGAAAAAAAAAAAGTTTAAAATTAAGCAATATCCATATTACCAAAATTTTATGGTTGTTTATTACTTCATAGTTATTCATGGTAGCACAATTTATCATGGTACATATTCATATATGTCAAGTGCTAAATTGATCATAATTATTTGTATTTGCATGATTGAGTCTAAATTTTGTAGATTTTAGAAGAATTATTATCGTACTCTTCAAAATAATTTTTTAAAATATTTTTTGTATTCGGTCATTTTTTTAAAAGTAAAGCAATATTTAAAAGAAGTCAATTTATGAGACAAGTGTTTTCTCTAATAAATCGAACAATGTATTAACATAAGTGTTAGTAACTTTTCTCGAGTAGACTTATATAATGTCATCTACCGAAAAATAAATAGAGTTACAACAGAGAGAAAGACAAAGGAAAAAGGAATTGCATAGATCTATAAATAACTATTTTATATTGACATTTAATGAGATAACACTGAACAAAAATATTAAAAATATACCTTTAATTGCACCCTTCAAAACTATATGGGTACTCACATATTTTTTTTAAAAAAATTTGTTGCCAAATTTTTTGAAGAAAATTTTTATTATCACTTTAATTTTTAAATATTTTAATACTAAATTAATTTTTTAAGAATTAAATAATATATTAATTAAAACATCCTTAATCATTATTCTTCTCTTTTATTTAATATATTAACATTTTATATAAAATATATAAGGGTGCATATTTTAAAAGCTCAAGTAATTAGTCCCTAAATATATTATCATTTTTAGTTTTAGTCTTTAAAATTTTTTAACCAATTTTAGTACTACATTTAACAAAAATAATATGATTTTATTACATGCTAAAAACTAAAATAATGTACTTTTTTGTGTTCAGAAACTAAAATCAAATAAAACTTTTATAGTGATTTTATTCAATTTTAGTCTTTGAAAGATCAATAATTATATATTAACAGGACTAATTATTTAAAAAATAAATAATTATACATAAAAATAAAACATTCAATGATAGGTTTTTGAATTTTATAGATAGTAAAACTAAATTAATAATAATAATATTTTTAAGGATTACTTACTCAAACTTATTTTTGAATTGATAGAAAAAAGTGACAGGACTTAGCATTACACGTGGATATGTAGATATTGTAAATTTGGACTTTTAGATATAATTCTAAGATTTTATTCTTCTCTCGTTATTTTATTTTATTTGTTCCAATACCTTACTCTAGTTATTATATATATTAAACTAGATGACCATTGTTGCGTTGTACAAGTTTATCTATAAAAGATTAAAACAATTATATTTAATTAAAATAATTGAGATATATATATATATATATATATATATATATATATATATATATGACTAAATTCTCATTGTGGTTTTTAAGAGAGTTTGCATATAACATTTTAGTCTCTGAAAAATAAAAAATATTATGTTAGTCCTTGATTTCTATCTTCATCGGACATTTTAGTTCCTATACCCCAAACGCCGTTAATAGATAGTAACAAAATGATGACATGTCATGTTAAGTGACATATGTAATTGATTACGTGGCAAAAACGACATTGTATGTGGTATAATATATGTTTTCATTTTATTTTAGTCTTTGAAATTATAACCCGTTAGGCATTTTAGTCCTTGATATTATCACCAACGAGTATTTTAGTCCCTAAGATTATAACTAGTTGTTTTTTGAGTTTATTTTACTTTCATCTTCGTAGCTTTCCTTCATATCCTCTTTAGTTTCTTCTTTTTATTTTTCTTCTTTTTGTGGGAATGTGATTACAAACTCTTTTTCTTCAATGGCCACAAAACTAGTTTCTATTGGTTCTCCTTTACAAATGCTATCATCTTTGGTTTGTATACCAACTTCTTTTTCTTCTCCTTCTTGCTCTTCATCTTAATTCATTTTAATGTGTTATCTTTGTTACTACTTCCTTTTTCTTCCTCTTTCTGACCCTCCTATTCTTCCTCTTCTTATACATCTTGTTTTTCTTATTATTTATCTTTGTGAACGGGTGATTCCCCGAAAGCAATTAGTCAAAGTTGTCGCTTTGATAGGATCAAATCTACACCTCATCAATAAAAGAGTATTCTTTGGAGGAATACATATGCTAACTCTTGCTTTCTCTTCTTCTTCTCCTCTCCTCAATCCCTCTTCCCATCCCTTCCCCTTCTTGCAAAGCCATCAACCATCTTGCAAATGCAACTCCACATGAACCCTCTCTATCATCTCCTTCACTAGATCTTTCAATAGAACTTCTACACCTTTTTCCTCTTTCTCTTTATCAAGGACTAAAATGTTCGTCAGTGACAATCTTAAAGACTAAAATGTTCGTCAGTGACAATCTCAAAGACTAAAATATCTGTTGATAACAATTTTAAGGAACTAAAATGTCAGTCGGTGACAATCATAGAAACTATAAAATGCTCGACAAGTTATAATCTCAAGGACTAAAATGAAAGAAAAACATATACTATACCATACATAACGTCATTTTTGTCATGTAATCAATCACATGTGTCATTAACGTGACACAGAAGCGTTGTTTTGTCACATAATCAATGACACATGTTACTTAACGTGGCATGTCAGCATTCTATTATCATCTATCAACAACGTCTGAGTGTAGGGACTTAAGTGCCTGACAGAGATGGAAGTAAAAAATTAACGTGACATTTTTAATATTTTCGGGAGTAAAATGCTAGACATAAACTCTCTAGGGGACCAAAATGAAGTTTTGTTAATAATTAATTTTACACATGTTTTACAATTTGCAGAACAAAAATTAAATATTTAAATTATAAAAAAAATATTATATTACACAAAGATTAAAATATTATAAATTTTTTAAGTAATAACTTTATTTATATAATTATTTGCACAACTCACATGTGTCATGCACACAACAATACATTGAATCAAGTTTTAGTTTAATAAATTTTAAACAACTTTCTAAATAATTATACAAGGTGTTTGCAATTAATTTAAATCAGTTCTAAGGTAAAAAGTTAGAATCAATTAAGAAATAAATGTGCATTTTAATTTGAATAGATTTAAAGATTGAATTTAACTATTACTTATTAATAAGGGAAAAACTATTTTGTTAACTAATTGGTATTTAAACCCAAAAAATTGTATCTGCCTTAACTTAGCATGAGTATGTTTTTGTTTTGTTATATTTCTAGGTAAGTGTTGATTTTTTTTTCTTTATGTATTTGAATTTTAAGTTCTCCTTAAACTTTCTGTAATAATATATATTTTACCTATAAAAAAATTAAATTAAACTAATTAAATCTTTATTGGTTTGAATCGGATAAATTGCTTCAATATTTACCTCATTTTATAAGTCATTCTATCTACACTTTTTGGTTAGTAAACAAATAAAATTTAATTAATGAAAATATAAATTCAATCTTTTATTAAATATAATTTTTTATTCAAGAAATGAAACATATTAAATAAAAATAAAAATATTTAATAAATTTAAAACAATGTTAAAATAATTAAATCTCTCTAAAAGTATAAATTTAGACTAAATTACAAATAAAATAAACTTAATTTTAAAAAATAAATATATTCAGTATAATATATTATAAGATAATGTTTATATAATAATAGAATAGAAAAAATATATGAATTTTGTAGTTCAGTTTAGTTTATTTTGAATTCCAAAACTAAAAATTGAATTGAGTTCCATTAAAAATATATTTTTTAATTATTGATTTATTCAATTTCAAATTTTTTAAAATTGGTTTATCACATTAAAATGATTTGAATCAATTTTTTAACATTAATAATTATATAATAATTAGATAGTCTCAAGTTTATGAAAAAACTTATCGTGTACTAGTTAATCACTAATGTCGTTTTTAGAATGAATAATTTTTATTTTGTTGTCGAAATAATTTTTAAAATTTTGTTTGACAGTCCAAAGAAAAAAGAAAAAGAAAGAAAAAAGAGAGTTAATAAAATTGAAATTATTATTAAATTTTTAAGGTTTTATTTCACGCAAATGTTTTTATATAAATTTATAGTAATATCTAAATCATAAACTGAATATTAAGTAATAAATATTTTTTTAATATTTTTTAAATTTTATAATAAACTATGTAATAGTATTCTTTTTCATTTTTAATATATAAATTTATTAATAAAATTGGTATATGATCTTCTAATATGTTAAATATGATAATTAATTGAGTCTTTTAGAAATATATATAATTTTTAAATTTAATAGAGAATACTCATTAAGTAAAAAGTTAAAGATTTAATAATATAAAAAATGTTAAAAATATTAATTTTAATTATAAATTATAACTTGGTATATATAAATTATAAATTAAATAAACTCAAATTAAAAAAAATAAATTTATTTTAAAATAATATTTAATATTTATATAACAATAGAATAGAAAAATTAATATGAATTTATATTAATGAGTTTGTTTAATTTTGAATATAAGAAATGAAAATTAAACTGAATAACATAAAAAATGTAATTGATAATATAAGTTTTGCATCAATTATTTAATTTAACTAAATAGGTAACTTTGAATTTATGAAAAAAAAAATCTATCACACACATTTAGATAATCCTAATGTTTATTCATTAGATGAGAAAATATTTTTGTTTTAAGTGATATTATTATATATTTCAATTTATATTTTTTTGTTTTTAAAATTTTACTTTTATGCAAAATAAGAGATTAAAAAATTTATATAAATATTTATATTACTCAAATAAATGATTGCATATATAATAATATAAATATTTATATCATGAGAAATAAATATTAATCTCACACATAAATAGTTATTTTATAATATTACATACAATATATTTATTAAGAAAGCAAATCTCAAAAATTATTTTTTAATTTTAATAGAAAAAACATTTACTATTCTTATGTCATTGAATGAAGCTAATATAATTAAATAAATTCATGATTGACATAAAAATATATATATTTTAAAATATATTCAAAGTGAAATAGGAAAAAATATTTATTCTATTATTATTTTTATTATTATATTCATTTTCGTTTTTTATATTTAACTCTACTTTATTTTATTTTTTTATCATTTTTTTGAATATGGTTAGAGTCATAAATACTAATTTTCATGATATAAAAGATATAATAGAAAGTATTTTTTGTTACCAATTTCTTTTGTATAAGTTAATAACATAGAATATTGAGATTTTCACTTGTATATTTTTTAAATAAAGGAACTAGATTTTTTTTACATGATACACAAAAAATAACTTATTACAATAGATTATAGAAAATTTTAAAATTACTTTTGAATTATTTGAATAATTTAATAAAATTATAATGTAAAATTAATATTTTAAATGCATAAATCTTATAATTGCCTATATTATAGTAATGTTTTACTGTACAAATCTAAATTTATGCGAAATTTATTTCTACAAGATACTTGCACACCTAAATCATAGTCAAATATAAATTATTGTAATTTCTAACATTAATATATAAACTTTTAAAATTAAAATAACTTTAGAATTTAATGCATTGAGATTATATTATCATCCAAAAAATTAATAACATATACAATTTAAGTCATTAACAACCACAAAACTTAATTCTAATACCCTTGAAATTAGAGAAAAAAACTAATTATAGCTAAGTCAATTTTTTTTAGTATCTAATATATAATATTAAACATGATTAATTTTTTAATACTTTAATAAAAAAATATAAGAAAGGAAAAATTAATAAATGATGTAAAAATTTTCAATATAAAAGAACTTATGATGTTATTTAAAGTTTTTAAAAATATTTTATATTTTTTATAATATTTATACTTTATTAATTTATAAAAATACATATTTTAATTAATAAATTGTGAGTAACTACTATAAACATAATTGATACAAATTTATATATGTATGTGTATAATTTTTTTTTATTATTATCTTTTTTTCTTTTAATTTAATCTAAAAAAATCCGTAAAATCTTACTTAATATCATTCATAATTTAAATAATCTATACAGAACACTTATTGTGTTTCCAGTAAATTTAAAAAATATTTTATACTTTCGTTAAATAAATTATTCTAAGATCTAAAAATAAAAAAAATATTAATAATTTTTCTAACTAAATTAATAACTCTATTATTATTTGTGAATCTAAAATTAACTATCTAACATTATTCCAAGGGTGAGATAAAGATATTAAATCCTAAAGATTACAAAAAATCGATTAATCTAAAAATAACAGGCAAAACCTTGCACACACTACCATTCATGATTCTTTCCCCAGTCACTCCAAAACCAAACCACAAAACATCTTCTGGGAATCCTAAAGAAGGGGAGACACTCAGACTTTGATATTCCGAATGTCATTCTCAAGGTTAAGCTCTTCCTTTCGGCTCTCTGTTCCAAAGTTTCCTCCTTTTCTTCTCTGCTTTCCTTCGTCCTCACTCCAAACCCGATTCATTCACCACGTTGATGTTGATGATGCCGTTGCCTCGTTCAATCGCATGCTCAATACTCGTCCTTAACCATCCATTCGTCAATTTAACAAGATTTTGGGGTCTCTTGTCAAGACTAAGCATTACCACTGTTCTTTCGCTTATTCATCGTTTGGTATTCAAGGGAATTCCGCCAGACATTTTTACGTTTAGAATTCACATCAATTGTTTATGCCTGCTTCACATGACCTTAGCTTTTTCGGGGTATTGGCCAAGATCTTCAGATTGGATTATCAGCCGAACACACAGTAACCTTCAGATTGTGTTAGCTGTAATGATAAAAGATGGGTGAAACCTGATGTTGTTACTTATAATACTTTAACAAAGGGCTATTGCATTGTTAATGAAGTAAAGAATGCGAAATGTGTATTTAACAACATGATTCGAGATGGAGTAACCCCTGGTCTACACAGCTATATCACACTGATCAGTGGATTATGCAAGATTAAAACGGTGGATGAAACCATGGTTCTCTTCAAAGACATGCATTGCAACGGTATGGTTCCAAATACAGTAACTTACCTACAGTTCCCTTCCAAATACAGTAACTTACCTACAGTTCCCTAATAGACGCATTATTCAAAAACCATCATCTAGATCAGGCAATTGCATTATTCAATAATGTCATAGACAGGGGCATTCATCCAGATGTACACACATACACAATAATTATTGATGGACTATGCAAAGGCGGAAGACTTGAGGATTCACAGGAGGTTTTTCAGGATTTATTGAATAATGGCTATCGTCTAAATGTGGCAGCATACAATGCTATGATCAATGGGCTTTGTAAAGAAGGCAAGGTTGATGAACCATTGTGTCAAAAATGGAAGACAATCGGTTGCAGTCCTGATGCTATAACTTTTGAAACAATTATCTGTGCTCTCTTTGAAAGAGATGAGAATGATACAGCCGAGAAACTTCTTCATGAAATGGTTGCCAGAGGCTTGTTGTGAGATTAAAACTAACGCTTTCCACTGGAACATTTCCTCGAGAATCATTGCTGCCATGTGGCTCAAAACCGTGAGAAATCCAGATGTCAAACTTGTGAAGGAATAAGCACATCCAGTTTCCTTTTTGATTATTCAGTAGTGTTGTTACTTATTTGTTAAATGTTAAAGACAGCATACAATTTTTCAATTTGATTATTCTTGTTGTTAGCCTGCCCAAGTCATAAATGACAGTTTTGAGGAGTATTTGACAGTTCTGGATTTGCCATTCTTGTTTCTGATTTCTAGTTAGTAGTTTGCAGAAATGTTGGGCCATGTCACTAAAATACTTGCATTTGTTAAAGAATCTGAAATTACAATATAAAATAATATAATGGAGCATGGTCGTGCTGGTCAATATGTCCGGCCTTCTGTTTGTGCTTCTTTTAAACTTTTTTATTGATTTTACCTATTCTTTGCTCTTTTCTAAAATTTTATTTTATGATTTAACTTATTTTATCAAGTTGTATCGTCATCATTTTTTATAATAAAATCGAGAGAAACATAAGTTCAGGGTATGTAACAATTTCTAATAACAAATTGGTTAAAATTCTACAAATAAAATGGCAAAATAATAATTTATCAATAATTTACTATTTCAATTAAAAAAATTTCAAATGGTAAAAATATGTTATGTATATAAGTTACATTCTTAAATTCGTAGGAGTAGCACGCATGTTTTATGAACAAGGTTGAGTTGCATACTTAAATTCGTCTAAACAAATATTTTAAGCAAAAAATTCGTTTATCCCGCCTTATATGATCTAACTGTTCAAAGGACAATGAACAAAAGGATAGCCACTACAGGGAATACTTTTAAATATTTTAAGTGTATTTATGAAAGGAATATACATCGCTGCTACAATTCAAGTTACAAAAGATTAAATTAATCGTAAAAATTATTATTTTAGTCTTTAATGTTATAAAAAATTTATTTTACGACTTCTTTGTAAAATATAAGTTATGTATATAAGTTACATTGTTTTATTCTATTTTTAAATTATTGATAAATATATTTTCTTGTTTAAGCCAACTATTATGGGTGATAGATAGAAATATAAATAAATAAGTAAAGACGAGACAAGGAGTTGGTGAGTAAAACAATAATGTCTAAAGAGAATATCAAATTCAAAAGAATAAAAGGAGATACCTAAGATATCAACATAATACTTCAAACAACTCATTAACAAGCATGAAATCTATTTTCTATGCTTCTACAATACAAAAAAAAAAAAAAAGCGTCATTTAGTCTCGATTCATTAGCGGCAGTTAACAATAATGTCCACTAAAACATTTTAAAAGTAACATTTAACGTTAATTTTAGTAATCACTACAAAAAAATGTAGGATTTAAAGGCTGTTTTGTGTAACTGTCATAAAATTTATGAAATTTAGCGACGATTTTGAATAATTGCCACAAAAAATGTAGGATTTAGTGGTGGTTTTGTGTAACTGCTGCAAAAAATGCGAGATTTAGCGTCAGTTTAAGATAACAAAATATAAGAAACATCACTCCTCTCCCCATTCTCCATCACCCACTCAAAGCTACCATTCATCTCCTCCACCATCCTCTTTGTCATTGCCACCATCGCCACCACCATCAAAGTGTCTTCTCTAATCGTGACAACCTCAATAATCTTCTACTATCATTTTAACTTCCTCCAAAAGTGATTCTTCTTTAATGACTCTACACTATAAATTATATAATATATATGTTGTGATATTAAAAAATAAATGGAATGTGAACCTAAATAGCAAAAGAAAGAATTGATTATAAAATAAGAACGGAAAAAAAGTATGGAAACAAATAATAGCGCACTGCAATGCCAAAAACAAAGCACAACCATGTGCAATTTGACATTTGAATTTCAAATTTTAGCAGCAGTTTAAAACTGCCACTAAATAATTCCTGCAAATTTAAAAATTTAGCAGTGGTTCAAAATTGCTACAAATTTAGATTTGCATTGCCAATTTTAATGTCTATTTCATAACCTCTGAAAAATATTTAGAGGTAGTTGTTAATCATTAAATTTAACTGTCACAAGTGATTTTTTTTGTTGTGCTAGTTGTTTAAGGGAATCATGTTTTAGTGGTTTTTGTTAAGTTAAAGTGTCTCTGCCATTGTAATCATGTGACTTGTTTAATGTCATGTAATGAATGACACATGTCACTTAACGTGATATGCTAGCATTCTATTATTGTCTATTAATAGGGTGTCAGAGATGAAAGTTAGGGACTAACCTGATATTTTTTTATTTTTCAGAAACGTAAATGAGAGTTTAATTATATTTATTTATATATTTATTTATTTTCACATCATCATGATTATTGATTATATAAAATTTGAAGGATTTAGTAAATAACTTATGTTTTAATATTTTAATATCTAAAGTAAAATATCGTAAGTAAGAAAGTATAACTATTGATGTTTCTTTAAATTTATAACTAAGTAGTATTCTTTTTCATGCCCTACATTCTTAACTTTGATTCGCTTATCTTTTCTTTTCTTATTCTAAAATCAACAAATGAAAATTTTATTTAACTAAAGATAAATAAAAATAGCATCATATGGCAAAAATTTCTTTGCTTCTTCCCTTACCCCATTTTTTTTAAAAAGATAAACTTGACATTATATAAGTTTTGTAGTATATGACGTAAACTCATAACTAAAATTGGTTTAAGGAGAAATTGTTTGAAATATTATCTTTACATATGTTTCTATCTAAGTCATATTGCAAATAGTACAATCTTTTGCAATAATATATAGTAGTTTTAAAAATTTTAATTAATTATTGTTGGTCCTAAAGAAATTATTGTATTTATTAATATACTTTTACATGTTAAATCTATTCATTCTTGAATTAATAAGAATTATCACTTAAAAATAGTTAAATTGAAAATAAAACTTTAAACATTTTAGAAAAGGTTAAGTATTATGGTTTAACTCATATTTAACATTAGAATCAATTGATTAGTAAATAAATAAATAAAATATTATAAAACTCAAAATAATTGTATGAAAAGACCTATTTAAACATTTATATTTAACGTGAAAAATAAATTATTAGTTAATAATATTATAGAACTCAAAATATCTGTATGAAACTATTTAAAATATTTTAGACTTGGTAGAGAGCATTATGATCCTCTAAAAGACTTTCTTTAACGTGCATTACAATTGATCTTTATAGATAAAAATTGATTTTTTAAAATTTAAAATTATGTCATTTTATTTTAAATCTAGAAATATGTTATTATTTTAAAATATATAAGTTATATAAATTTGATTTGATTTGTAATTTATGTAGCATCCTCTTTTTCATTACTTAGAAAGTGATGAGTTATATAATGTTAAATTATATTAGGATGGGTTTAAGAGTGAATTATGAAGAGTTTTATGAGAAGTTGGTGCAAGAAATATCGCTCAAGTGAGACTGAACGACTATAAACATCTTATTTCAGGGTAATTTTGCTCAAGCAAGATAGGATAAATTTTGCCCAACTATCACCTCGCTCAGGCAAGAGTGATATCACCCAAGCGAGCTGAGATCTCACACAGGCCCCACAGGAAAAATACCCTACTCTCTGGACGACATCTCGCTCAGGTGAGATGGAGATGGACGACAGGCTAATGTCTTTGTCGTCTTATGTTTTGTTTAGAGATGAACATACTCTACGCTTATATATAGGTCTAGAATCTTTGTACAACTTAAGTTATATCACTCTTAACCGACTTATAGTCAAATGCTGGAGTGTTTATCCTTAAACTATAATTATTTTTAAAATATTGTGTCTTTAATTGAAACTGCTACGTGATGTGTACTATAACACCCTAGATTTTGTAATAATATTTTAATTATTAGTAAATACGTGAGTTGCTATATGAATGTGTATTTGGTTTGTATGATGATGTGCAATTGATATATATAAGATGATGTGAGTATATGTGTATATGTTTAATGATGTGAATGTTGGTTGTATATTGAAGATTGAGTGTGATTGGAATTGGACTAAGAAATAGGCTAAGTATGTATTGTAGGGGGCATTCTTATTGTAGCGAGAAGGTCCTGGGTGAAGAGCGTTATTCTGTTGCATTCTCGCTGCAGTGAGAGGCTCATCGCTACAGTGAGAGGCTCCTCGTTGTAGCGAGATGTGTCTCATTGTAATGAGAGTGTCACGATTCATAGGGGGTACTTGAAGGGTTTAGGGTCTAGGAAATTCATTTCCCATTCCTCTTTTCTCAACCTTATTTCACCGATCAAACTGCCTCCAAAGCCGTTTGTGAGTTAAATTGAAGGTTGGACTTGTGTTTCGGGCGCTTGGAGAAGTGTTCTAAGAGTTAAGGTTTCAGTTTTCATCCTTCTTCTTGGGTTTCTCAGTTTCTCATGGATTTTTCATGTGTCTAGGACAAAAATTTGTGTGGGGAGCATTTTTACTGTTGATTTCATGTTGGGTCTTCGATCTGAGGTAAGGGGAACTTTACCCTATCTCATTTTTGTTGAAAATTCTTTTGTTTTGCTATATGTGACAATGTGATTGAGATAGAATGTAGGAACATATGTGTTTGATGGATATTTTGTGTTGGACGTGACATATTAGACATTGGTTGATATTATGTGTGATAAAGTGACATGATGATGGTAGAGTTTTATGGAAACTTGATGTTAAATTTAATGAGATTGAATGTAGGCATACGTGCCATGTGTGAAAGTAAATATCATAAGATGAATGTGAATGTGGGTGAATGTGTGTGTAGGCATGTCATTGGTTGATGTTGAATAATATGAAATGGGCGACAATTCGTGTGAATGACATGTTGAATATGATTGTGTTTGAATATGTTGGAAAACTATGAATAATTCAGTAATACACTGGGGGTATGGAAGATGGGGTGGTAGAAATACCTTGGAGAAGAGAGTGTGGTGGTGACACCAACAATGAGCATGGGTGCACCACATGCCACACACT